CATCCCCATTCCTAACCAGGAAATGTTGCTGCCTGCAGATTCCTGATGGCATCCTGGCCCATTCAGTTTGGATCAAAGGCCGGGTGAGCAGCTGGCATAAGGCCTTGGCTTCTCTAAAGCAAGCTCTGGACATTCCTCATCCCGCCATGATTTCTTACCCACCTGCAGATAGGAGCTAGTGGAAAACATCATGGACTGTTAGTTGTGCCTTCAGTGAAAATTTAAAGCACGCTCTGGATATTCACTGAAGAAAAGAGAGTCCCTTGTGAAGAATGTCCTGGTCCATCAAAAATTACAGATCGCTTGTTTGCGCATCTAGTCCCTGCTCATTTAGACTTAAACGTGTCCTGCATTGTGCTTTGCCCCATTTGCTCCATATCTTTTACTATTGTTTTCACCTTTTTATTGATTATTTATATTCCAAATGTTTCCTCTTCCAGTTTGAAAAAACATACACTCAGATTCCATTTATTATATTTAAGGTAAAATTTACACTTATTAAATACATTAGAGTACAGAGATAGACATACATTCACTTCCCACTTAGAAATATAAGGGATTTAAATATAAACAATCAGCTTCCTCTAAATGTATGTGTTCTGATGTTATGCTTGGGAATTCCATCATTTTAACTCCGTAAGGAAATACAGTCATGTTTTACATAGATAAGTAGTTATTTTAATCAAAAGATGCACTTCTCTCAGTCCTCATTCCTTTTCTCATCTCAGATCTTTCATCTGGGATCAACCTCCTTTAGACTTGAATTTTATGTTTAACATTTCATTACTCTGGGTTTGTTTTCCAGTACATTCATCATTTTTGGCCTCAAAAGGTCTTAGGTCACACTTTCTTAGAAGACATATTTACTGTATATAGAAATTTTGTTTGGTTATTTCTGGTTCTCGCTGCCCTAGTGGCCAAATGACAGTTGTTAAGTCTCCTTTCTTTTCACATATTTGTAAGATAACTAAAAGGAACTTAATACATCTCAGTATACAGAGTAAGATTATCTGTAAAAAAAAATTTTTTTTTAAGTGTTACTCGCTGAGTTTGCACAATCACTGGTTATACAGGCGGTATAAATACATTCCGAGGTAACCGGAGACACAGGAATCGTCTACGGGTTTCAGCGGTGCCCGACGTCCCGCTCCAAGTTCCAAGCCATGGTCGTGTCTGCAGTCGTTTCTCTCATGTTCCCGACCAAACATGCTGAGGCTCACGAAATTAACTCGAGCTTCAGGCTATGTGTGTGTAAGTCCGAAGAGAGGAAATCCTGGGACAACATGCCTCTAAAAACCGAAATCAGTCAAAGGGAGAGAGTTTAAAACCCGTTATTGCTTACAAACTGCAGTCCAGCGCCGTCTCTCCCCGCTGCTCCGGAGGAAGCCGGCCAGCCAGCCCCTCCCCTTAACCTCTCAGGTTCAGACACGCCCTCGGTTGCCCAGGTAATTACCCACTGACGTGGAGACGAACTTCTCTCCACCCCTGAGGATATGCAAATGAACTTAAAGCCAGGCGAGATATTCTGGAAATGTTACAATTTTATCCACAATGTGCCTATTTGATAACATAATATTTATTAGCTTCCAGCTATAGAAATCTGAATGATGTTAGCATATGATGTGTCTATTTCGCTTTTTGATGAGCACCTTTGCGTAAAGAAGCCTGAAATAAGACATTTCTTATTCACCCAATACATGCGTAAGGCTCCTTTAAGAGTAAGCGAGACTTCGCGTAACCCTCCGGACGTAAGAAGCCTTCCCGGGCTCCATTACTTCCGAGGCTTGGCCTTTGCCCTAGAGGTGACGCGGGCTCCGTCTCGCCATCTTGGTGCCTTGGGAACTACACTACCCAGGGTTCTCGGCGGCGCCGAGCCAATGAAATACCAGGTCAAGAGCGTTTCCGTTCGTGCGGATGACGTCGGGGCGGGACTTCTGTTTCCGTCTAGGGAGGACATTTTGATTGCTTCTGCTCCGCCCGCACAGTCTCGGGGACGTGGTGTCAGAGTCGAGGTGACCCGAGAGGGAAGGCGCGAGAGGAGGCGCTGTCTCCCCCGAACAGAGGCAGGCCCGCGTGACCCGGCCGCTAAAGCGTGGGTCCCCGCCTCGTCGCCCTGTGATTCATCTCCACAGGTTCTGATGGCGGCGGCCGCGCCCCTGGGCCCGACGCAGGTGGGTGCTTCTCCCCGACACCCATCTTTGAATCCTGGATCCTCGAATGACGGCCTCCTTGGCTTCCTGCAGCCCCGACACCTGTGTCCAGACAACGGGGCAGCCCCGCTCGTGGCTGGTCCTGTTCCAGGCGTCAGGATGATGGGATGCGGAGGGGCGTTAGGGGCAGAGCTCCAGCTGTGCAAAGGCTTGGAGGAGCCACGCAGCCTGAGCGTCCGGAAAACTCAGGGTTCTTGGTGTCTGAAAAGATCAGAGAGTTTGAGAAGCAGTGACACCTGGAAGGCCAGTCTTCATCCCGAGGGTGATGGGAGCCGTGGAAGGTTCTGAACGGAGGAGGGTCAGGACCTGAGGGGTATAAAAGTACCCGTATGCTGCTCAGAGGAGAGCCGACTTGGGGTGGGGCTGGGGAGATGAGGACAGAGAGGCACAGGGAGACTGAGACCCAGTCCCAGGTAACAGCTGGTAGTTGGCCTTGGGGACTGAGGCGCAGAGGATGACAGCCTGTGTCTTTGTGGCAGGGCAGGAGCAGGGGACAGGCAGGAGCCCTTGGGCCCCTTGCTGGTTTCTTGTCTCAGTTTCCCTCTTCCCACAGGCCCCCAAGAACTCAGAAACCATTTCAGGCACTATGCAGGTGAAAGGGGATGTCTGTGCTCAATGACCCCATCCCCACCCCACAGCCTACAGGATCGTGGTGTCCTAGAACTCTCCCAGCTCTGGAGTCCGAGAAACCCCAAGCTGGGGCTCTGAGTCCAGGCCAGAGGTTATGTGGAAGGGTTTCCATGTCTGGTAGCCATTGGTTTAAGGTGTGGAATATGTTCCAGGCTGGTTGCACAGGAACCAGCAGGTGCAAATACTTGGAGATGAGATTGAGTTGGGAGTTTTCAAGAAACTGCAGGTCTCTACCATGTTTGGTAGGAATCAAGAGCAGGTGGGCAGGAGTCAGGCCTGGAAAGGTCAGCTGGTCGAGCTAGGCTCCTCTTCTGAGGGTGGTGGAGCCGTGGTAGGGGTGGAGCAGAGGAGGGAGGTAATCTGATCCACATGCTAACAGGCACCCTCTGGATGCCAAGTGATGAACTGACTGTGTGTGATGAGGGTTGAGGGAGCGTGGTGGAGAGGAGGCGGCCAGGGCGAAGCAGCTTCCACAGTCCAGGTGAGGGTGGTAGTGCATGGGCCAGAGGGGTGGCTGGGCAGATGCGAAAAGTGATTCAGTCAGACTTGTTGATGTGAGAGAAAGAGATGACATCAAGGTTTTGGGTCTTACCAGCTGGAAGAGTAGAAGCTCTGTCAGCTGAGAGAGGCACGTCGTGGACATTGGGAGTTTATTTGTGGCCGAGTCTGAGATGTCCAGACAACACTGA